TTATCTTCGTAAACATATGTAACCGATTATCCGAAGACCTTTCGACACCACTATTGTGACGTTTGAGTAATTTTCATACTTTTCTACAGGTTTTCGAGTTCTTTAAAAATCTTTTTATTCATGGTATCAACATTCGAGAAACATTCTTATACGGATTGAATAGCGTAGTTAGTTTTTACCTCAAGTTTTCACTTGTTTATTCAGAGAAATTCAACTTGCGTCTATGATGAATATTCGAACTTCATGTATAATGTTTCGCATAGAAGTGATTGAATCCATGGTTAAACTTATGAAGATTTTTATCCTATGCATGGGTTTCCATGAAAAAATTGCTTCTTCTCTTCATTGATTCAAGATATTCTCTCTAATCTTCTGCATAGTACACAGAGATTCACAAGTTGATCGAATCTGATGAAAATCATTGACTGATATCGATATCATCTTCCTTCTTCTTTTCATCTTTTATCTTGTTTCATGAGTGCTTTATCATGTGTTTATTCCTCTGAAATATTCATTCTAATGCTCATCTCTTTTATTTTCTGAATCCCTAAATTAGCATTTGTTGAATGTTCGATAGTGACATTCCGCAAATGTCAGGTACTTCAATAAATACAATTACGGAAGATGTCGGGACCATTACAAATTTTCAACAATTTATTACATGTTTGTATAAGTCAGAAGCTATATCTGTAAAGCAGTTGGAAACAAATCAAGTAATTTTTTTTTCATGCTTCAAAGGAAACTTTGGTAAGCCTTTCGCTTCAACATAATATCTCGAAAATTTATTTGTTGAATCAAGTAGCACGCTGGAGAAAAACGTGCTCCGGCTGGCAGCGTTGCTACGCTGTTCAGCACATCTGTAAATGTGCGTTTTGATTGTAATCTACTACCTTATTTCTTTCTTGCTTTTTTAAAATCACAAATAAATAATCCTTGGCAGTTCGTTTTGACTAAAACCAACTAATAGTACAAGATCGAATTAAGGGTGTAATTTTCTCATTTTTTCTGATTAGACACTACAAACATCATCACTTCACAGTATTCATCAGTGCTGACTAATGCTAGTGAACAATTTTGTCGTGTAGGCGACTGTTCAACAGCTGCCTACTATTATCAAGCTTTTACTCTGAATTTTTCTATTCCTGGATACTACTTGTTTAAATCGATCAGTAACATCGATACCTATGGATATATGTACAAAAAGATTTTAGTTCCTGCTGATCCGTTTGAAAATTTACTAGCAAGCAATAATGACGGTGCCGGAAATCATCAATTTCGTGTATATATTTGGCTTGATACTGCAACAACATACTATTTAGTTGTTACGACAAATAAACCTATCGTCACAGGACAATTTACCGTGATTGTCACTGGTTTAGGATCATTGACACTTTCACCAATGAATGCATCAGGTAAGAGCCAAATTCGTTTCAGAATACTTCTTTAGTTAAACAAAATACTGATAAGAAGGTGAATTTCAAAAGATATGAAGGATACTGACTTCACCGCCGTAAATAAACTGATCTAGAGCAGTGACACTCTAATTGTAAGGTATTGATGATAATTTGTTAGATTGGAAATAAAATAACTAAAACTTAAAACTCATAGTTAATTTCACGTATCGACAGGATCAAATTTAAACTTGAAGTGAAATCACCTAACTTGTAACTATGAAGTTGGAGTGAAAGCAAGGATACTTTGAAACTTTCATGCTGGATTTAGTTAAATTTCAAACTAATTTTTGTTAAAAAGCTTTTTTTCTCGAAACAAAGTCAATAATACATGAACGAAACAAGTAATTAGCATCAGTCCGACTTGCTAGATTCTCGGGTGAGTAACATGTTTCGCCTTTATAATATACTGCTTCTCAGCCTTGAACAACACTGGTTGTCAATGTTTAAAACAGTGCTTTCAATGTGAGATGTTGACATGCAAGTCAGTGTCAAGTTGCTAGACCATATAGATATCTGTACGGCTCGTTGACTGTTTGAACTCATCCGATGTCATTATTTCCAAAACGCCAATATCTAGGGTGTGGGTGTGGAATATATGTGGAGAGAAGACAAATACTCTCACCCATATTCAACTTATTTCCGTAGTACTTTTCTGCTACCCTATCGATACTTTTGGAACAGTGTGAAATATCTGGGCGACGAATCATTAGAAAAGACGAGAGAAAAAGAAGAAAGAAAAAAGAGAAGAACAAGGAAGAAACAAAAAGAAAACACGCACGGATGATAATATGAAATAATGTAACTAGACAGTTTCCAACAAAAACTGTTCTTATCGAATTTTTTTAATTTAAGAGTCAGTCGTCGGCTAACCCGATGATATCCAATAGGTAGATTTGGGGCAATCCTTGTCATCGAGAAAACCTTGTTCTTGCAATTTTATCGAATACTTCTGATCAAAAGCCATATTTTTTTTATAATAGGTTCTCGTTATGTTTAACATTTCTGATTTGCAAAAAAAAAATTCTCTTGCTCTATGTATAGATTTTCTTGGATTGCTTGTAAATGCTAACAAGTAAGATCTCTTTGTATTCCTAAAAAACCTTCATGTAATTCTAAATTTTCTTCTTCCTCTAAAATAAGTCATGTTATTGAAGGATTCTCTTCTAAGCACAGACTTCACGATACTACATTATTCTATTAGCAATAATTTCTGATTTAAATGCCGACGAAAAAAATTCCTTTGAAGATACTATCACGAAAGATTTCTCAAGTTATCTTCATACACGTATATCTCCTTTTTAATATATTACAATCACACATGGTGAAGAGCTCCTATTCTATTCGTTTCTTATAGTCATGCCTAATATTCCTGCTAATGCACGATGGGCACAAAATGGTGTGACTGTTGCTGGAGGCAACGATTTAGGCAGTGCTAACAATCAACTCTACGAGCCTCACGGTCTATGCATTGATGATGACCAAACAGTTATTATTGCTGACTACGGAAACAATCGTATCATCGAAACGAAGAAAGGTGATCCAAATGGACGTATCGTTGCTGGTGGTAAGAGTCGAGGAAAGGATTTAGATCAATTGTCTTTTCCGACCGATGTATTAATCGACAAAAAGACAGATAGTCTCATTATTTGTGATAACGGGAATCAACGAGTTGTACGATGGTCTCGTCGTAGTGGCACATCACAAGGAGAAATCCTCATTGACAACAGCGATTGCTATGGATTAGCTATGGATGATGAACGATATCTCTACGTGTCTGACTCAGAAAAACATGAAATTAGACGATATCAAATGGATAACAACACTGTCGTTCGCGTAGCTGGTGGCAATGGCCCTGGTGCTGATCTTAATCAACTCAACGGACCAACTTATCTCTTTGTCGATCGACAACAGAATATCTATGTGTCAGACAACAGGAATTTTCGTGTAATGAAATGGAATAAAGATGCAACGAACGGGACTATCGTTGCCAGTGGACAAGGCTTCAGAAATGGTCTGACACAATTGTTGTATCCTAATGGACTGTTTGTCGATGAGTTGGGTACTCTCTATGTGGCAGACACGAGGAATGATCGAGTGATGCGTTGGCCTCAAGAAGCGATACAAGGCACTGTGATTGTGGGTGGAAATGGTGAAGGAGAAGACACAAATCAGTTGTACCATCCCATCAGTTTATCCTTCGATCGACATGGCAATCTTTATGTCGCCGACACGAACAATCACCGTATTCAACAATTTCCTATCGAATAAATTCATTACGATGAATTGATTTTTTTTTTTCAAATGAAACACATTGAACTAATGTAGAAAATGACTATTCACGCACGCGCGACCAGGAACCATGCTGTTGAAGGATGTGGGTGTGTGTGTTCGTGTTTGACAGAAGGTATAGTTGTGGAAAAAGGGAACAATCACACCTATCCACGCTCACACTAAAAGTAAACCGGGGCAGAGGAATATGAATCTGCAATCAGTTTTTCGAAATTATCGTTTGAATTTTGTACGAGAAGACCCTTCTTTTTGTTAAAAAAAAACACTTTTTCCTAAAAAAGAACATTTCATGGAAAAATAAGAACTCAACATTTCGAAAGCTGATTGAAGATTCAGATTTCCAGACTTCGATTTCTTTGCATTGACTTTTATAAAAAGATCGTTTATTTCTGAAAAAAAACCCTGTCTTTTTTGAAAATGCGCTTGGATCACCAACGATACCTACGGCTATCGGTTTCAACCGGTGCAGCGGTGATGGTATACCGCTCAATGACCTCTACCTTTGTACCCCTAGGTTTGAATGGAATAGTGTGGATGGGATGGGATGTGGTTGAATTGAAGCCTTTCATCCACACCCATACTCACATGCCAATATCGGTCAAAATATTATTTTAGCTTGTTGGAGAATTCCAAGCACACAGGTAATGAAAAATTTCGTGTTTGGCAAGGTAAAAACATAAGCACAAATTTGCTCCTGCCGTTGAAAAGGTGCTGGCTGCATCACTATTTGCTTTCATCACACTACTTGTTCTCCAATGTCTTTTGGTCTCTATCACGAAAAGACATGATGTCTGAAGTGAACACAGTTCATCATATGCTATTGAAACAACAGAATGAACTAATAGGGGCTGATCGGACGCATAATAACCAAGATGTTATGTTGTCCTTGATAGTTGTTGGTGTGCTCTAGTTTTACTGTAGCTTAATCAAGGCTGAAAAATTGGATTAATAGTGTCTGTTCCAAACACTGCACATTTAACTATAGTATCCAAAAATGTCAGCAGGAAGTGATATTACGGTCTTTTCAAAAATATATACCAAAGAATATGATAATTACGATGAAAAAGGCAGACCTGGAAAAACGCACCAAGTTCCCTTTGATTGTAAAACAAAGTTGCTCGTGTTGCTATTTTTATTATGTCACTGTTATTTCCTTCAAACATATTCTCCTATTATCATTTGTGATAGCGTTTGACCCTCTTGATCTTGTGATACAGCGAAGCAAACGACGTAACTCTCTACTATATGACACTCCAGCCGAAATGCATTTACCACTTAAACTATTTCTACATTTAAATAAATATGTTGCAACTGAAGAATTAAAAATAAAACAGTATATTGCTGTCTGATCTAGAAATATTTCAAACAGAGTGCACATGATATTAATGACTTTTTTTCACTGCAAACTGCTCCTGGATTAAATAGCAGAAGAGACATGCAGTGATTGTACTGTTGTCAATATTATAATTGAAAATAGACATTAGTCTGAACGCTTCAATTTATAATTTTGGCTTATACTTTTATGGACACAAGAAATACCCATAATTATTCATTCCCACTCCAAAATATAGATACAAAAATATTCTGTATGCACATTTTTCTAGCTGAATATGCACATGTTGTCGAAATATTTTAATCTTTGAGAAAGAATCGGTGTGCTTTCTTAGCAGTCGTACTTTCATTTTTGTAAATGGTTCATCTGCACACGTAGTCGAGCACTACTTGATACAAAAAAGAAGGGATACCGATTCATTCTATGTGCACTGTTTGGTAAGCAGGCGATTCAGTATAGAATGATTAAAATAGATTACATATGAACAATTGAGCCATTTTTGATGTCTAGAACTGACATAATATTTCAATTAAAAAAACACCTCACGCCTCATTTTGGATTTGATCAGCTCTTGATAATTCAGAGCAACCTATATCGTTTATTAAGATTCGAAAATATCATTATTCTTAAGCCTGTTATTGGAAACCTACATTATCGTGAAAATTTTATTGAAATGATGTTTTTAATGAGCGTTAAAATATATGTCAAGACTTCCAGCTGACGTACGCCAGACATTCTTACCAGTATTCCAAATTTAACCTTAAAGTGATCGTGCAGAAAACTGTTCACATATGAAGGAAAAACCTAAGATTTAGCAACAAAAACTCGATGAGATGTTAACAAAACATAGATAGAAAAACTGTTCATTAGGTCGTGTTTCACAAATAATAATTTGTTTACTGATAACAGCTATCACCAAAGAAAATCTTAGTCGACTGAGTCTTTTTTAATTCCAAATTTCTGACCATTGAAAAGGTGATGGTGACATTTGTGCCCAATATGCTTGATGTTCAAATGCTGTCCAAGCTGTTCGATCATTAGTAAAAAATTCATAATCTCCTGATCTTGCATTTGGCACAATTTGCCATACTAACCATGGTAATCCTTGTTGATGTGCCGCAGCTCGAATAATATTCAGTGCTTGAGCCATTTGTGTATCACCACGGTCACCGAATTCTTCCACATAAACTCTTTTTCCATATTGCTGTGCTAATCGAATAGCTTCTTGAAATTTTCGACGAGAATAATCTTCATCCATTGTGTAGTCGTGTAAAGATATTAAATCAATTGTAGAACATTGAAAATTTTCAAGACGAAGACTTAAGCCATAATCAACATCGCCACCAGTTGATAGAAGTACTCCATTGTTTACTAATGACCGAATTCGTGTATTTATATCACACATCCAATGTACATTAAATGTTGACATATGACCTTGACTTTCATTTTCGATTTGAAACGAGAATATAACATGACTTAAAGATCTCCATCGTTGTCCAAAATGTGGATTGACATGATCAAGTAAATATCTTAATCGATTTGTAAAATCTGTTTTAGCTTGTTCATTTGAATAAAATTTCGATGCATTATTCTGTGGTGAACATCCACTGACTGTTGGAATTCCATATTTTGATACATAACTATCAGCTTTATATGCATAACATCCTAATGAATAGCGATCATGAAGAGCTATTATTAGTTTAATATGTCCAGCAGCATAAATAGCAACATTTTTTATAAACTGATCAACACGCGCTAACATGTCACTGTCTTAGCTGCTATAGCACGTGAACCTGCTTGACCATCATCGATTGTTGCTAAAAAGATTCGTATGACACGAACACTTTTCTCATGTAGTATGTTAATTAATGTAATTTGATCATCTTGAGGAAGAGCCCATGCAAAGAATGAATTAGCACCGGACCAAGCTCGACGAGCATCTATCATGAACAAATTAATATTTATCGAATCGATAACAAAATAAGAATACTTTTTTTTACCTTTAGGCTGACCAGCTGCAGAGCAAAAGAATAGCAAATAACAGGCAAGAAAAAATAGCATTTCTGTATTGCTTTTGCCATTTTATCAAATATATTATATTATCAAGCAGCAAGAGTGGTACAGAATGAAAGAAAAAAAAACATCTGTTAAACCTTTTTCTTTTTTGCTCAATTAGTATTAGACCAAAACAATTATATTCACTTGAATATCATGTGATAGTGTGAAGATGCTAAAGTGCAATCTTCTTTTTCATTGTTACAAGTTCAACAAGTGGTTGATGTTACAGAAATTCTTTACATAAAAATAATTCACTTTGTTTTTGTTCTATCTTTAGAGCACGCATTTATTGTATAGTATTGTTGTACCGCATTTTGTTCGAAAGATATATAAAATTTTAAATTCGAAACTAGAACAGACTTTCCATTATATTTTGTGACATAGATTCCATTTATCTGTCACCAATTTATGTATCGGTTCCAAACTTTCACACTTATAAAATGACACAAAAGAGAAATTCAGCAAAGTCTATTAAAGACTTGCTAGCACAGTCCCTGCCCTAGTGAAACATCCTGTCAACAAGATCTTAGTAGCAGATGTTCAAGATTTTCTGTCTTATATTTTATCTTTCGTGATCCTTTACACTGATCTTTGTTACACATACTTATATCTTGCTTATCCCTAATCAAGATTTCTAAAATCTTGAGGTATAGCTTTCTGTCATTGAATATCATTAGGTTGTTCGACAACCCATTGATCCCATTAACAATAGCTCGTCAAGCGATCAACAATTTTTTGTTAGAATTCACATCGATGTTGATCGAGTTTTGTAGTTGGATTCATCGACGACACTTAAACGACTGTTGTAACATTGATTCTTGTATAGTTTCTCAACAATATGGATTTTATTCGTCTCTTGATCGTTCAGATACAAAATGGTTCAGCGTTGTTTGTGATCCGTTGACAGAAATGTGAAAATTGTCAAAACATCGATCTATAGAACGGATTGATTAATTGATGTCGCATCAAGGCGACTTCGACGAATGGTCATGCGAGATTTGCTTTCTGAGTCTCAGTCTCGCGAGTCATTTCTAACGCATATTTCATCTAATGAAGCCTAACATCGATCTCTGTACACGAGAATGCCATCTAACCGATTGATGACATGTTTGAAATTCTTCAACAAATGAATGTTAGGGATGTGATTGTGATCAAATAGGAACCCATATCCACACCCGTCTAACACCAGCGAGTAACGTGCACAAATCGCTAAATTAAAGTTCCTCGAATATTCAAAGTAATAGCAGAACAAGAATTAAGCTTAGAAAAACAATGAAATGCAATAATACAATCAGAATTTGCCCACCATTGAAATGATGGCAATCAGTTGTGAAGAAATCAGTGCTGATCTCATAGAAAGTATTGATGGAATGATAAACATTTTATCATGTTCCTGGAGATAGTTACATGCAAAACAAGAAATATCGCAAAAAATTTTGCCACATCCGATATACTTCCTCAAGTAGAAAAAATTAAATTTAGCTTATATATATTTATTTCTACATTGTAACAACCTGTTTTCTCGAAAAATCTTTGTTTTTAGTGTACAAGTTCGAATGATGTTAAAAATATTTTTCTTTGATTTTTCATCCTCACAAGATTCCATTTGTTGAGAATGCATTTGATTTGATTCTCCTTAGAAAATAAAAATCAAACCATATTCATAAAATTAAAAATTACCTCTAAAAGAGATATATACTTATGACTAACTCAACAAACAGTAAGAATATAATTTAAAGGCTTACTTTTTGTTTTTGAATGAATTCCCAGTAGACTGTAATGAAATTTCTTTACAGCATCGGAAGTAGTTATCGATACCATTTAATTATAACGTTTTAGAGTTTTACTATTTGCTAAGTCCGTACTTTACTTTTACCGATTTTTTAATTACTAGAAATAAATCATTGATTAGTCGTGATATTTCAAGAAAAATGACACAGTAAATATTAGTTAACAAAATGAATAATATTACTTTTTTTTGTTAGATTCATGTGAGGTCAGAATTTCGGACCAAATTTAAATTGACCTCATTGATCCTTGTAAAAAGCCTTGTTTTCTTAACTAATTGTCACGTTCCTTAGTACTAGAGTGTGAATGTGTAAGCGTGGATAAGGATGGAGAGAGGAATGACCCACACTCACATCCATACCCTGTTGGTGAATTAAACAAATTTTATTAAATTTCACAGTTGAAATGATTAAGATAAAAAAAATGAAAAAAAAAAGTCACTTCTACTGAATCGATTTGATTAAATTATCTGTGAAGTGATTTTTTTTTAGAAGATCAGTACCCTTGTCGGTGTTCATATCACAAGATATTAGTAGGGAAATTATAGATTGATTTATGATATGCAAAAAACTTCATTTGAAAAGTCATCAAGTTAAAGATGTTATATAGTCTCGTTTATCTCTAATTTGAATTTTAGGAAAAAATAGTAAAGATTCGTGTAAACTGAATTGAAGATGAAAGAAGACTAAAAGATTTTTGTAATAAGTAAATCATTTTTTTTTCAACTTGTTTTTTAGTTTCTTTCTTGCATTATCATGACACTTTGTCAGAAACTCATTTTTCTTTTATAAAGAATGAAAACGCCGTTAATTTAACTTTTTCACTAAAAAATAGAACATTTGAAAAAAAAATTAAGTTTTTCATCAGACTTCACTTGCTGATGTCTGATAATAGATAATTTTTAAAATAATGTAATATATAAATATCAGTGTATCTAACAAGAGTTCTCTAAACAGATAAGAATTTTTGACTAACTTCAAGATAGAGAAAAAGAGCAGCATGATATGTCTTTTATAGAAGTAAAACTATCTTAATTCAAATAGAAGTCAAGTTTCAGCTGATGTTTTATTCAAGAGATTCTTCTAAGTATATTTTTGATATTATTATTTATCAACAAGATTCATATGAAGAAAAACAATGTATTAACTATTCTAATATTTAAAGGCGACACAACATTAAATTACTATTATAACAATTATTCATTCTTCTAAGACCTCTTGAAAATCAAATAGCCATGAAATTACACTATGTTCATATTTCAATGGTAACAAAAGATTTTCTTCATAATTATTTCCTATTCAGAATTAATAGAGTATGTAAATGGACTATGATTATCAAGTACAAAAAAATTTATGTGAATTTAGAGCAAAATATATCGACATGCAAACAATAGAAGATAAGAAAAATAAATTTTATCTAAGCAAATATGTTTTTAAAATAAAAAAAATTTAGTTTAATTCAAAACAAAAACAAAAAACCAATCTCTTTGTCTTTCTTTTGTTTTTTTGCTCCATGTTAATAATTGAAATAAGTTAATGCATCACATCTACAAAGCACAAGCCAGGAAAATTTAATATCTCTCAACGAAAACATTCTTTTAATCTGAAATTTTTAAATCAATATATCTTTATTCGATTGTTTTCTATACATATAAAAAGTCAACTAAATCAATCTGCTCTACTATGTGTTTGCTGTTGATAAAATGAGTGTTTCTTTTATACTGAACGTTCAGAAATAAATTGAAAAACTTAAGTTAATACACAATCTAGACATTATGTTAATTTAAAAGTACATATCTGTCTTTTTAATGTCGAAACTAAACTCTATCTAAGAAAGAAAAAAAAAAACAAAGAATGAATTTTCTATCATCGTCTGTTTCCATGCAATTGAGTTTGATATTTACTCAAAAAATTTTGTCAGCATCCATTATATCCGATTTAGAATTAGAAGAGTATATAAATGAAGTTTTTATCATGAAATACAGAAACCTAATATAAATTCCAAACATAAAATAATTGACACGTCAACAATATAAGATAAGAACAATAAAGTTTATCAAAACAATCATGTCTTTAAAAGAAAAGAAGATATATGCATTGAATTCAAACCAAAAAAAAGAAAAACGATCATCATATGTTCTTTTTGTTTTTCGATGTTAATAATTGAAATAAATTAATGGATCATCTAATTAACAAAAAATTAGATTTAATTAATTGATTATCGATAAATGTGTTGTTATTTTTTTTGTTTTTACCTTCTGTGAATACACATGTTGCAATATTATGTTTAATAGTTTCATGTAATGCATAAAAATCATATTTATCTTGATTTGGATGACGATGAACACGCATATGAAGATACAAACCATCACCAATACATACTTTTAAGAAATAATTAGTACCATAAGCAACTTTTTCTTCAGCATATTTTGTTACTCTGAAAATTTTTATGATATATTTATAGATTTGTTAAAAATAAAACTTACTTCCAATTAGCTATATGTTTTTCTCGATTTTCTTCTGTAAAACGATGTATTTTATGCTCTTTATGTTTTCTATAGAGAGCATCAATAGCTGAGAATATAACTTCCGGTTGTTCACTATTTAAATAAAAGAATATTAATAGATTATATGAAAAGTTCAATGAACCTTAGTTTTTGAATTTCAGATGTAGCATCCTATAAGAAAAGAAGATTTTTTTTTTTTCATACAAAAAAACAAATATATCTTGCTGATCAACAAACCATAACAGGACCCATAGCATTACGTTGTTCGTCGGACATAATTGAATTTTCTTAATGTTTTACTTTCGTTTAATTTTCTTTCTTATTATAAACAGTTGTATTGATGTGAAAAGAACACGTTGATTGACACAAAAAGAACAGGAAAAAACGTTTGAATCTAGGCAACAATCTATTGTCAACCAGATACGTAAGCAAAAAAAAATGTATGCGACTGGCTTACTATATATACGAATAAGGAACCAATAAATACTCTCATCCTTATTTTACCTTCATCCAACTGTTTCTATTTCCTCTTGCCTTCCGCTAGATCAATTACTAACTTGATTTCTCTATTCATGTGAATAATTCTATTCATCTGATGTTCTCTATATCAAATCCACTCATGCACTTGTTCATATCATTTTCTAACTGTGTCAATTAAGAAGATTTTTTCACAAACATATTTGACATAGCTTACAACATCATTATATTAGAATTTGTCTTGCTGATTTTTATATTCTTTATTTTGTTAGAATCATTAACTAGCGTCATCTTTCTAATCTAGACATACCTATGTCGTTTTTATTTTCTTCATGTAAAATTATCGGTTCTAGCGATCTGTATCTTTTCTCTTTTGATTGACTTCGTATTAACTGTTTTAAAAAATGTTGATCTCTACTGAAATTTGATAGCATTCTGTTTCTAATTTATTATTTACTATCAGTTTATCTTCATAATTGTCTTTATTTTTAACTATCTCAAAGCTTACAAAAAAAGAAAATCTAAAAACAAATTTACTCTTTTCGGCTGTGTTCTGTAGAAAAAAAAATCGAACGTACGATTGAAGATAACACAAAAAAAAACAGATGATGTTGATTCAATCATCAAATACTATACTAGCATTTGAATGAGTTTTCTCTGATTTTTCTCTTCTCAAGCTTATCATTACAGAAGATAGAAACTTTCAATGTATGTACGGCGAGAAAAAAAAAGAAAGAAAAAAGAAAACTCGCCAAGAACTATATAAATAATGTGCTTCACACTGCATTAATAATCATCTTCGAACAGTAAAGCAAAACAGTCGATATATCTAGCATAGACGAATTAACAGCACTTACGACTTGACGGAGCGACAACGGAAATTTTTTATGGACATTGCATCTTAATTTTGCAATCGAGCAATAGTAATAGAACAAAAACACTAGTGTCACAAACTATGAATAACTAGAACATGTGTCTACAATGAATTAACCAAGATCACTATCTATGAATTTTATTAGACCCGGGTTGATCATAAAAAACTGATTTTTATTGTTTTAGATAAATTTTATGTAGAATAATAACAAAAGGTTACTTGTTGTAATATAATAAATCTAGTTTTGAATAAGAATGAGATGAATCATATATGATCATCAATTTGAACTTTCTGAATATCAAACAAAATAATAGAACTCAGCTGATTGTTTTTTAATATGAGACTTTCTTCTTTTTTCTTTTTCATTTTGTATAAATAATAAAATGAAACATATTTGAAATTGATCGAAAATGAATTTACAATTACAAAAAAGAAAAACATTTTATAGCTACACTATGAAATAGAGACAAGGATTTTATTTCAATGAGTTACAAATAATGACAAAGAAGCAAAAAAAATTTCTTCTTGACATTTTACATAACAAAAGACAACTCTATTATTCAATCTATAATAAAGAAATGACGTCCTTGTTCAGCAAGTGACAGTTGTTGTATCAATAGAGAAAAGTCAAAAAGAGACGATAAAAGAAGAGGAAATCAATAAATATAAAGAAAGGCATAATTATAGTTTATGTCAAATAAGACAGATGGTTATTAATCATAAAAAAATGCTATTGAAAATTTTCTTTCTAAACAATTGACACAGTAATAAAAACAACTTTCTCATTACATTGCTATACGCCAACATTAGAGTTTTGCAAAAACCAAATTGATTTACTAGTCAGCATTTAAAATTCATGATTTTTTCTTTCGTCATTGATGAATACACATATAGATATAAATTTTTACTTTCTTCTCAAGTAAAATTAACTAATTGAAAACCGAAAATAAATTGTTTTATTTATTTTGGACATTCAAATTATTTACTTTTATTATCAATAGTTTTAGCTGATTAAATTCGATATTGACATATGTAAACATCTGTAACATGCTAGAGAGTGAGAATCAGCATTAAAATCTGATTGTTTTTTTCACAAGTCAATATTACTGACGAGTCTTATTTAAGGGAAATAGAAATTCTTTCATGATCGTCATTTTTTCATTCAATTATAAACAAATAATCGTACAAGTCAATAAAAATCTTTGTAATCGAAATCTTCATATCGACATTATTTAATAAAGTTACAAAAAAAAAATATTAATAATAAAACTACAAGTTAATGTTTTTTCTTTGGATGTTCGTCATTCTCATCTTCACGTTTACGTTTTTTTATTTTAAGAAAACTATTCCATCGATTCGTTAGTTCATCTAGTATTGTTTGAAAATCATTTGTATTTGCTAATTTTTCAATTTTTTTTTGTCGAATTAATATCCATTCACCATCTTGTTCTTCGGATAGATCTTTTTGATTATGAATTTTTACATTTCCTACTCCTGCTTTCGCATTTTTAAGTGTTTTTTTAATTTGTTCCGTCGTTTTGAATGTTATCATATTAATATAAACATGATGTTCTTTTTCTAATGATTCAATATAACCATTTCTACCAATAAATCGACCTCGTTGTTTTTCTTTTGCAGTTTCGGGTGCTAGTGTAAACTGCGGATTATTATCGAATTTACATGGTAAAAATAGAAATTCTCCATTTTTAAGTGGTTTTGGTGATTTTGTTCTTTTTCTAGATATTTTACGTCTTCGATCAATATCCATTCCAACATCATCGTCTGATTCGGATGAATCATCATGACATTTATTAATATGATTATCAACTGTTGATGTTGATAATAAATTTGAATCTAAAATACGATTTGTTTTAATAATATTTTCTAATCGATTTAGTGATAAAGAAAGTTTGGAATTAATATTTTTATCTCGATCTATTTGATTAATAAGTTTCTTTAAATTTATAAATTTATCTTTGTCATCAATAACAACATTTATTAATGTTTCATTATCAAGGTTATTACAAGTACAACATTGACGAGGCATACTTCGTAATATAGGTGCAGATATACACTTTTCATTTCGAAGTTCATTGATAACAGCGTGAAATAAAGAGCGATAGCGTAGATTGTGAGCTAAACAAGTCATTGTGTTTGAAGAGAAGACGAATAAAAAAAACCGAAGAAAAATACCCTATATATATATATTGAAGATAAATTGTGTAATAACATAAAATTTCACTACCTTGTGGGATGCAAAAGGACAAAAACCTCATATTAGTCATGATGTTTATTATCTTACTAATGGGAAAAAAACAATTACGACATAATTGGCTAATAATTTATTTCCTAGTATGTATTATTTTATGAAAATATTGTAGATTGAATATTTAAAGATTTTTTAATTACTATCGCCATTTAATAATTTTGTTGTTACATGTCAAATGCTTTTGTTGGCTGTTTTATTATGAAAATATTTACTCCATCGATATTTATCATCGTTACATTAGTTTTTCATCTTATTATTTATAAATTGTTAGGTCGATCTTACGAGGAAACATTCCCAACTGTCACATCGCTTTTGAGTCGAGCGTATGGACATTATGTAGGCCCTAATGACCTATGAATGTCCTGAAAAAAGTTCGTGCTGCTAGCTTCTTACTGCTGAGATACAGCATTTTTACTGTGTGTTTAAGGAAAAAGCCGTGGTCCCCCTCAGAAACATCAGGAAAAGTGACTTTTGAGTTTCCACCTGAAACTTTGCATGTAGACAGGCCTCAATGAGAATAGTTTATTGTGAAGGTTTCAGATTTTTTGGTTGCTCCTAGTCTGAGATAAGAAAATCGGATCTGCTGGTGTATATGAACAATTTTACGATAGCTATGTCTTAGGATAGGAACAGCGAAAAGAGCTGAAACTTTCACAATAAACTATTCTCATTGAGGCCTATATCTATGCAAAGTTTCAAGACGAAATTCGAAATTCAGTTTTCCGATGTTCCTGAGGGGGACCACGACTTTTTTTTTCTTAAACATACAGTAAAAACGCTGTATCTCGGCAATAATAAGCTAGCAGCACGAACTTTTTTCAGAGAATTCATAGATCGTGAGGGTCTACATAATGCGCATACGTTCAGCTTAAAAGCGATGTGACAGTTGAGAATGCTCCCTCGTTAGTCTACTCTTATCAGTCTATAAGTTGAAACAGAATATAGAACAATTTGTCTGCTAATTACAAATAAGAATATTGCTTATGAAACTATGAGAAAAAGACTGTGAAGATATTTCAGATAATCAGTAGTTGTGCTTATAACTTTCAATTTTAGTCATAAACGATTGTAGAGAGTGTTTTCTTACTTAAAATCAAATTATTTAAATAGAAAGAATTCAAAATAGAAAAATCAGACTCATTAATATTATCTAAGTGCATCGATATTGACTCCAGGGCTATCAGTTTTAACAAACTTCACTCATTTCGATACCATACATCATGATATAATACCTTTTAAAAACCTTAGCAGTAGTTATCATATGAGTTGCTCATAGACATAAATTAATCGCTTTATCTATGGATACATTCATTTCCTACTGAATTTAGGAAGGTGTAGATATGTTATTCGTGTCACTCAGATATTACCAAAAGGAGTTATCGTACTAATACAAGAATTATTGGCAATTCTAATTTGAAGGTATTTACAATGTCAACTAATAGAGAAAAATCGAACCCATCACTGAAGGCAGACCTACTTGGATAGGTTTTATAGATTTCTTCCATACTCAAAAAATCCAAGCCTTCATAGCTTGAATCCAATCAATGAGCTCTAGTAGTATTATGATTATTCTTTTCGATTTCGTTTAATCACATTAGTACAAAAATAGCATGAACATAACTTAGCGACAACATCATCTACATATAATAATTACAC